TCTTCCTCTTGTTCACGAATAAAGTTCACCTTAACCGAACATTCATTGTTTATGTAGCCTACTCGTGTTGTAGTGGTCTGATCACAGGATTTCTTCACGTGAACTAGGCTTCAAACATTTTCCACGCTGGTTTCTCAGTCGTCTTTTGCAAATGTAGTCCTTCATTTCTATGAATAAATGGTTCTTAAACAGTTTATATACTGCAGTATGAAGCGATTAGAGATATGAAATAATTCCCGTGGGAATCATTGTTAAATCCATACTATGGCAAATCCGTTAAAATTATCACCCAACGATACTTGTTTGTGGTTTGAAGTTTGTCTGGGTGTAGAATTTGTTATATCCATACTAATATCTGAGAAACTGTTCTCCTCGTCCTAAGCGCTGTGGGTGCTGGCTGAATCCCAGAATAATAGACCTCGTTTATCCCCTGACAAAACAAGATGCAGAATCAAGTCAAAACATTTTCTTTTAACTGCTTATGGGAACAAGACAAATTCAGCTGAAAGAACGTAAAACCTGAAACACATTCAAATCTGATCATTTTGGACGCGAGGGTCTTGAATCTTATAAATGATGTGAAATCCGCTATGGGTGGGGAATATACAGGTTGATTCTTCGTTATCTATAAGAATTAGGCTCGTCATTCCCAGGCTCATTTCGACGAATAATACTCAAATCTTTTCATCTGTCAAACTATAAGGTACAGTATTTCTGGAAGGTGTTCACGACCAATCAAAGGCTACCGAAAGAGGAATGTGAACATTGATGGTGGGAAGCGATCCCAGGACGTCATGATCAAAACTTCACGATGATGACCTTTGGCTACCTCTCGTAAGATTTGGTAACACAGAGATTGATAAAGTTCACTTTGCACAGCTGTTGAATTAGTGCTTTTGGTGCTTAAACTACGCGAAATATTGAAAGACACGAATTCTGTAGACGGTCTGCAATACTTGGGTTTTAGTTCGGCTTCTGCTGACAGAAAAAAGGCGTCATGGTTTTCGGCTTCTTTGTTGATGAACAAATAGGAACCCAAGAATATGTTAATATTTTTGTGTGCAATAATGAATAATTTGGTGGTAAAAGCCATGTGTCTTTTCGGCCTCACCGTGTCAGACTCTGTGAGAGACAATTGATGAATAGTTCGAACGGTGGTTTGCTTTGGAGGACCAAGATGCTTCAAAGAAACCGACTATCATCCCGTTCGTCGGGGCTCTCAGTGTAAAGGATGCAGATTTCAGCTATTTTCACTCCATGGAATAACAAATTTCATATCCAGTCTTTTCAGATATCACCATAGTTTATGTCTGAACAGAAACGAAGACACGCACGCTTCTGACGTAAACACTCATACATGCAGCGAGAATGTTGGTTGCAACGAATGAGACACTTTCTATAGATTCTATGGCATTGTTTTATTTCGGACAAGTGCTTCCCAGTGCCGAAAGCGATATTAGATTTAGGCAGGTCAGCATGAATAGGAAAATCTGAAATCAAAACGGACAAAACAGAGAGATGTCAAACACTCGTGGTTACAGAATTTGCAAAATATGCGGGCCCAGTGAACTATTTGAATCCCAATTCAGTAGAAGATAATCCTAGTATTTTCGTCGTCAGGATAATGTGTGCAAATCAGTCTATTCGGGGCATTCTTTAATTATATCATAATAAGAACAATTTACATGCATGGGGAAACCATATGAAACAATAAAAGTCTATGCATCCATAAAGTGGTGATGCCGGCATTCGATTCATCATTACAGTAACTGTTTTCTAGTTAAAATCAACTGAGAATATTCTGTTAACTGGGATACATGATATATCAGCCGGGAACTTGCTTGTCATATCAGCGGCAGTTTACATTTCCTGTGTCAGGAGGGAAGAATCCACGTGGAATTCATATTGCAGAGGCGAATACTGAAGCAGCAGAACGATGCAAACATCAAGCCGATTAGAACAACCGGTCGTGAGCCACAGACAAAAGAACAGACGGTGAATCTGTCAGAAGTATCCCCCAACAAACAAAAAGAGGCATTCGGACTAGCAGACAGAACGCAGCGGGATTTTAGCAACCAGGATGATAGCTCAGGTGAGGAGCTACCGAACAAGCCTTCAACTGAAACAATCGGATCAGCTGAACCTAAATAATGAGTAAGAGAGCAAACTAACGGCCACAGTGAACTGGCCAGAATGTAGCCAGAATACTCGGGCAGTCGGAGGATCAAAGCTGCTGTAGCTCGGTTTGGAGAACGGACCATATAAATGGTTACATATGTTCCACAAACTTGTCCTAATACAAGTGTCCTCACTCGTCTCGCCATCTTAGTTACTATATGGAGTAAAAGGGGCACGAGCAGGAAGAATAGGTATATGAACCTTGTCGTCCTTACTGTGACACAACATGATCCCATCACCAAATCGCCGAAAAAACTATAGTGTAAGACAAGGAGCTGTGCACAAAGACGTCCTTGTCATTTCGTGCAAGGTCAGACTGGTAGAGAATCATGATGGGCATCCTAGATTCGTCCAAATAGTCTTTACTATTTTGTACTGTATTCTATTCGTAGATATTAAATTCTGTCTCTCTTGTAAGCCTACAGGCTTATCATTCATCTATATGAAAAATGAGCAAAACTTTGCTCGAGTTAGGTGCATTTCACTGTTTTCAGTTGCATGCTGATTACTTCCAATAATGATATCTATCTGAATTGTGCGTACGTATATGAGTACCAAACAGGTAACCAGCTATTTGACTTCGAACCAGCTCAGTAATGAGTTCCATGTGATAAAGCTTTCACTTCCGTGGAAAATAGAGGAAACGTTTATGTACGCTTTATGGAATAAGCAAAGCTATATGCCGAATTTCCCTTACCATGAAAGACTTGCAGAATATGCATAGCATTAGGGTACAGTTAAAAGTGTTCTCTAAGAAAATTTACACAATCGTCTAAAATTGCGGTGGTAAGTCAAATGAGGTCTTTTTACAAATGTTTTGGCAAATTACGGTTTATCCGTAAAGCTGAGTATCATATTATTGCGGTGCAAACGGACAATACTTACACACACAAATGTCAAACGAGACCACATATAGGCACTGATTTTGTCCCCATTGTGATTGCATTTACTCATGGGCCTATTCAAACGCATTTTGATAGCACGTTACCATTTCCTGATCGTGGCAACAGTATCTGCGAGCAACAAACGTTCGTACTGGTACGAAAGAGGGCAACCTGAATAATTTGTACAGATCGAGACAGGACTCGAGACTTGAAGACGGAGAATAACCTGAGCTGGAGAGATTCGAATGGGAAACATGCTAAAACCGTTCCCATTCTGAGCTTGCTGTGAGCTCATTTACACCGACTTTACGCATGATTCGTAATCTGTGATCAGTAAAGCATCGAAGTCAAGAGCCATCAAAACGGGTGGTATTTCGGTGATTTCTGAAGTCAAGTGCTGTATACCTAATGTAGGTGGAACACAATCCTACTTGACCGATCCGATCCCCAGCTGAGGCTCGACAGGTGCGCATCGCCACAGAGGATTCCCAACAGACTAACTAAAACTGATGTAGGTCGCAGTTTAGGAGGAAGGTTTTCATTAGTTCCTATGTACTAATGGTGGCATCTCGGCTGACGATGACAAGTTTGTCCCCTGAATTCCAAGCTCACTAATCAGAAGCTGTTGAAGACGCGCAGGCATACGATTAAGGAATTCTCCGGTAACCTCACACTTCTATCCTGTTTAACAACAGTAATTCAGAGTCACGTAACAACATGAGAATATTCAACCTGTAGCGTACTACTCTGTCTATGTGGTACACTTAATTATTGTCAACAAAAAAGGCCAAAAGGGTATGCACATTAGGAATTAAAATGAAACAAACGGTGTGACTCAAACTCACAGTTGTTCAGTGTTCTTATGATCAGGAAATGAGCGTCGAAGAGCCAATATCCGCCAATGTCTTCAGTTCAGTTCGGTCTGACAGCCATCCGTTGAACAGAACAGGATGGTATTGAGCGAAGTGCCAAGAGATGCCGTTGAAGCCTCTAAAATGTTTTGTTTCACTCAGTTAGTTCCGACCGATATAATTCCAAGACACTCCAAACCAGAAGATGAGATCGTGCCAGAATGAAAGATTCATTTACAGCCTCTTTGTATTGCGCGGTGTTGACGTTCAAAAGGTGTGTAAGTTTTACATTGAAACGTCGGTACAACAAAGGAGTGTCGCACCAAGGGACGTTGAAAATCATGGAAAAGTCGGAAATGTACAGGTACCTACAAACTCAAATCGGTCAACAAACAAAACTGGATTTGTGTTCTCCGATTTGCGCTACAGATTCGCGGATGTAAAATAAACCGAGAAGTGAAGCATATGTTAGCAAGTGTACCACATGTCTCCGACACTGAAACCAATTCAAACCATGAACACCGTCAAGTTTAATCAGAACGTTTCCAACATAAGCCTTACTTCTTGAATAGGCCCCAATTTTACATCGCAATCTGATCAGGTCATCGAGGTTCATAATGGTTGATTTCGAGAGACGAGATCTGAGGAAATTTAGGCATGCTTTTCCCGAAATAATCTTGAAAAGAAAAGCCACAGTTGCAACATTGCACGATTCATGTCCGGGACGATTTCGCTGCATCTCAACATGGTGTACACTGCACAACCATACTGTTTATATAAGTTCATGTAAAACCATAATTTTCGATAAATATAGGGGAAATTTTAATAGTCAAGTTACGTCACATGAACAAATAACTGATTCTGATGACACAATATTAGGTTTCCATCAATGTATGGCAATGGTTTGAACAAACCTCAAAAGCCTGGTATTCTTTGCCACGTATATGACCCGAAACGCAGTGCTTCGGTCAGCTGGATGTTGCGTCATCAAAAGATGACGAGCGACGGCCGACGACGGGATCTTATGGTTTCGAACGTTGTCATTATGCCTTTGATCTGACCCTGATTGCATCACAAAACGTTGTACTCAATTTGGAATATATTCAATCACTCGGTTACGTAACTGCCGCTCTGTTCGACCCAAGTAGGCTGCTCCGCAACTAAACTGAAATTGGTAAATCAGATTCGATTTGGTGTACAGAGGTGGACGTTGTTTCACCGACGGTGTGGGGATCTCAATCGTTCGATGAACAATTCTGAGGTCAGCTGCATAATACGTTCGGGCAAGCGCTGATCCAAGTGGTCGTTTGAGCAAGCAATTGATGTCATCACGTTTGAATGAAAGACAAAGTGTGACTAGTAGTTTTTCTGCTGAACAATTCGTTTGTCTGATCACTTTAGGCTTGCTGTGCCTTTCGATAAATGCATCGGGATAAGCGTTTCTAGTCAAAGATTCTTTCAGTTGTCGTAGTTCGTTGTCAATCATGTCTTCTGTGCAGATATGTCGTGCTGTATGAAATAGTGTTCGGACCAGACCACGTTCATATTCCACAGACACAAAGCTGTCATATCGCGGTTCGGGCCATTTGTTAAGCGCTCCGGTTTTTAATTGCGGGTTACTTAGACGAAATCTTTTTGTGTGGATGTCGAAGTCCTGCTGGCAGAACGCTCACAGTCCGTTGATACGTACTTGTGTTGATTGGCTACTTTGCTGTGTGGTGCTAATCTATCGCCGTATGACAACTGATGCGGTTCCGGCAGCTAATGCCATCATTCATCATTTGATATATCAGTAAGGTGTTCTGAGATAACTAAATTCAGGCAAATTGTCGTACTTCGAGAGTGCAGTGCTGCTGGAACTTTGTCAATTTCAAGGACTAGAGAAAAATAGAACTACAAACTATTCTGCACAGGGAAATGGGCTTATTTCACAATTGAAGGCTTTCAACGGTCGAAATTCTCATGATGTGGAAAATCCACTTGTAATTTTCACATCGAAATGTCTGTCGCCGCGAGCCGGAATCGGACCGGCCACCCTCCACGTACCGGGTAGAGCTCCACCAGATGAGTTATCATGGTCCGGACGGCCAGCTGTGAATAAAGTAAGTGAATATTCGGTGACGCATGAACCACTATTCCAGTGATGCACAGTAACTATCCTGGTTTTAATCACTGGGCTAGCCTCGTCGGTCACTTTCCATTAGGGCGAGCAACACACAAATGAAACTGTTTATTGGCACTTTGTCCCATTGCTTACCGTGGTGCCATCCATAGTTCTACTAAACAAAAGCCACACTTTGATGGACAGGAATGGAAATACGACGCCCCAAAGACAGACGACCAAGTTGTGTCAACAATCAGTAAATGGTTGTCGTGGGTATGTCTGCAACGTGTTGGACATGCTGAAGCAAGCCAGTCAATCATCTCGTAGTCATATGGAGATAGCTTATAGATAATAAAGAGAGTTTTTCAACAGGAAATCCTCCAGCCCTCTCCTGAAGACTGTTTATAAGATATGACCTCATAAACGCAACCAAACCCAGTGATACCTTCAAAATTCCACAAAGAGTGGTACGGGCTTTTCACAGTAGAACGAGTGTTATTGGGCTCTAACCGTGTCATCCGAGACTTCCGAAGCACGCAAAATTCGTTCATTTTGTAGTTTTATCAACTAGGGAGATACGAAGATGAGTCAGACCAGCCAATAGAGCACGACGGTTCTGAGTCAAGTATACCTGATGAAACAGTCGAGATGGAGGCTGCGAAAATGAGGAATGGAATATGCGTAGGTGAAGATACTTTCATTGAACGGGAAGCATTGTAGGGTGATACCGAAGATGATCGCCGTGAAGTACCTGATTATGGAATTGTCACAAACAATCGTCTCTTTTAGTGTTATTTCAGGTCACACAACTAGTGTGGTAAAGAATTCGGAATTGCAAGATACTGAGTGCAAGAACCAGGACACTCCTCGTATAATGTTGGCATTCTGTGACGACACTACTCTGCCCTTTGACAGTGTCTCTACTTGTTCCTTAATATAAGTTCCGTTCAAAACACCAAGGGTTCTTCCCTTCTGATATCATGCAGATAAACTTCCATTTTTCCGTGATGGAGAGGAAGCGCACGCTCATAACCAAGAAATATCACTGCTTCAATGAACAAAAGGAATATAAAATTATGAAAACGCATTTTGCAGTAAGACGGGGTCTGCAAAATGCTACCACATTCGCCCCGGATAATGATGTTACCTACATTTGATAAAGAAAATAACTTCCAAAGGGCAATAACTAAATCCAGCGAGAAGGTTTCCCAGTAAACTACCGTACTTCATTGTAATAGGAGACGAGTTGAAGTAGGCTGCTTTGTTTTTCCGCCGCTCTGAAGCAAGCCCCATGAGCCGAACAAAGGTAAACACCTGTTATAATGGCGGATAAATTACACAAACTCGTGCATGATCAACTTTTGCAATGATCTCAAAATACTTGCCGAATGTCCACAAAATCATACCCGCGAAACTCATTGTCACCGTGCTTTCTCTGGGAAGAATTTCGCTGAAAAACTGTCACTCACCAGTGACATGGTGTCAGGTGTTCGAGAACAATTCTGTTTTGCCCGGCCTTCAAAAGAATGCGGATATGCGCTGAACCACGTGACAGGACCAAGGACAAGGCAATTAGTCTGACAATCAAGACGCTCAACGTTTAGTTCCCACATTACTTTGGTGGACAGACCGATGACTGTCCAAAGGAGGACAATATGGAGCTACTTTTTCGGATGACTCTTTCCACCCCCGCTCTGTCACAAGTAGCAAGGTTTTTACAACAGTTTACCACCAAGTGGCTCAACATAACAATCTTCACATTTAGATTTTGTTTATGACCACACTTTTGCAACCACATCTACTTAATGCACGCACAAATGTCTCGAATGGCAAAACAGTTCATGATCATTTAAATAACCATCTTCTAGGAGTTTACATTATAGTTGTTCTTGTCGATGCAAATAACCATACACAAATCAGTGTTTCGAAGTTTAACGGAGACACAGGGTGAGAAATTCATGTGTGAACTGAGAGATGCAAACGAAATACTCATTATTGGTAAACAAAATCGATTATCTCCAAGAGACAAGCAAAACTTTCATAGCTGTGTGTCACCCATCGGGTCATCGATTAGGAAACCAACAGGTTGCTGTGATACATCAGTTTCATCAGAAAGGGCATCCCCGTGCTGTGAAATATGGCTTCACTGAGTCTACTTGTTAAGCGAATACGAGTTCTGGTTATAAACCGATTCAAGTGTCTCTGATGCACAACTAGAAACCACAGTGAAAATAAAAAATAGAACGCGTGAATATCCAGGGGTTCAGGGACTTTCGTTTCAGAAAACCAATCGTGCTAAACTTTTGCTGGCACTGTATATAATTGCAATGGAGAACCTACTAGATTCCATGTCAAGCAAAGACGAAAATGAAGAGACAGTTTTGGAGAATATTTGCACCGTTTTAATCTCACATGAGGCAAACTACAGACGGTATGTCGATCTCTTCAACTGTGGGAGCACGTTTAACGTGTAATTTCATCCACTGAGTTATCGACCCTTCAGATTAAATGCTATGATGATGGGATCAGTGCACGTCGTTCTCTCTGTGCAAACATCGTGAAATTTGATTTATTATAAGCTATGCTTGTATATAATTGAAGCAGAAATGACATCAGAAAATCCAAGGGGATTCACCCGACCTTCAAGGAGAACCAGCAGTTTCATGCCTTAATAATTTGAGTCGAGTGAAGACCCCAGAGAGACCACAGTGCTCTAAATCATTGAAGCTGACTGATGGTGGCAGTATTTAGGTAACGTAACTCAGACATAGTAGCCGCTGAACCACCTACGGTCAGGTTAATTTTTTATTGTAGAAGTAATCCTACTCCAGAGGTATATCGACCGATACAATTTTGGCATTCTAAGTTACTCAGTATCACACTTTCAAGGCATCAGGTCATTCTCACTCACTTCTGGCATTCTCTGTTTTTATCTGTGCTGAAGTACTGATTAGTTGTATTCCATCAAACACGTCGTCTAGCTTGGACTCATTTTATTCTCAGTGGTTTCAAATACTGGTAATGCTGTTGGCTTTGATTACCGGTTTTCACAAGCTCCGGATAGCTGCTTTTTGCTTTTAAGCAGCAAGCTTTTGTTGTCAGTAATAATATACACGGACGACGGGAGAAAATTTCTCCGGAAGAACACGATCGGTTTCGCGTTTATTGCTACTCATCAGGTATGCGTGCCCTGTACTACCCTTTCTAATCACTCCTTTACTTACACACTCCGGAGTTGGGGTTTTTTCCTCACAATCTCATTTCAGTCATTGGCTGTGCCTTTGGGCTCCGAGTAACGAAAACCCAAACTTGGAACCATTTGTCCCCCTTCACACTTTGATTTCACTTGAATCATTAGAAAAGCGCATGGACGGGAAGTCCTCTTTTTAGAAACACAAGCTTGTTCGATGAAAGTTATTTCGTCGGTTAATCAAGGCTAACGGACGATTCTTAAAATTCACTACACTCCCATACACGTTCCCAATGAGTAGAGAAAGCGTTTTATTCTCATTTGAGCTAACAACATCTTTTTACCGGCATCTGCTCGTCTGACGGTGAAACGATTGTGACCGAGATTTCGAGACCAACAATTAGGATCTTTTCAAAATGGTTCATTTCATTTTTTTGGCAATTTCATTTTTATTTTTCCATTTTACTATACAGCCTGGGGTTTTAACATCCGCAATTGATGAGGAAAAATTAGAAAATTGCAAACAAAATACTCCTTGAGTCGCTCCCACTCGGACAGTTCGAAGGATACTCACCTTTTGGTAGTTCTTTCAATATATTTTCTCTAGCTACGGTGTTTGAGTTGATTACTATATCTGTCACCCGTGAACTGACCTTGGCATTTTAGAAAATCGTTAAAATTGCTCGTCGCGACGTTGCTGATGGCACTGACGATCTCACCTCAATTGGTGATAAAACGTTTGCAATCTAAACACCAAGCTCAGCGATCAGAACATCATAGCAACCAACAACCTGAGCTACAACCAACACAAATATTTGAAACCACAGAGAGGAAATCCCTTTAGTCAAAACACTACACAAGACCCGAAATAAGTCACTCGAGTTGAATTTAAATCACCAGGCTCATCATCGACGGCAGCAGGATAAATTTAGGGCACTTGGCATACTCATCATCCATAAAAGTCAGTATGATGCGTTGGAAAATATCCGAAGCCAAGGGTATGACCTCTCAGTTCTAACGGGGAACTAGGCCGCGGTGACTGTTCAAGCGTGGATCTGAATGATCTTCTTTTTAGAAGAGTGGTGAATTTGAAGGTGAAAGAGCAATATAGTGAGGAGGGATTCACAAACCAAAGTGCGCTGAAGAAAACTCAAGTAGGTAGCAGTGACCAGAATGCAGTCTGATCATTCTA